GGGGGGGGGGGGTACTTCACTAATACGGTACCTGATCGTGAAGGCAAGTGAGGAAGGAGAATTTCAAAGCTTTGCTTCAGAATGCTTATAGGACAGCAGAGAGAGTCCCCGCACCATCTGCACAAGAAGAACAGAACCCCGGGGCTGATTTTTCGTCTCTCTTTTTCTGAGTCAATTTTGTTTACTTTTAATGCTGATCACATGGCATCATTGCCAAGATAAAAGGTATTTTTTTTTTGGGGGGGGGGAACTACACGGGAGTCACAAAAATGAGTTGTGATTGCACTATGGGCCAAGATCCCAGGGTAATCAATGCTGGGAGGAATCCCCCACAACCTTTTTTCCTGATATGCTTCATATTCAGTTTTGTATATGGGACGCTGGACCCGTTTTCCAACAGGTGATGCTCCCCACCAATAGATGGAGCCGCTCCCCAGGTGTTAGTGGTGTCTAAAAAAAAAAAAAAAAAAAAAAAAAAAAAAGAAGGTGTTAGTGTGTCTGCTCTTACCAGCAACACTAACACTGATGGGGCCTTACAAAAAAAAAAAAGTTTGGAATTGCAGTCTGGGCAATGTATACAACCCAGCTTGCTGGCCAGGTAGGGTGCCCGAAGTGCAATTGCAAACTGAATCTTGCCCCATAGTGCAATTGTAACTTTTTTTTGGGACTCTACTGAAGTTACCCCCCCCCCCCCCAAAAAAAAAGTTACCCCAAAATTACCTGTCCCTGAATAAAGTCACTGAAAAACTTCTTGAATTTCTGCACCGTCTTGATTATCTTTTTTTTTTTCTTTTCTTTTTAAGATGTCTCATGTGATTTTTTTTTTCCCCTCCGTCTGTGTGGATGCGCTTTTGTTTGCTTTTGAATTTGTGTTAATTTATGTGCAGCCTCATGGATTTTTCGACTGCTCCCCAGCGATCGATGTCCCTCCAAGTCAACCAGCAGAAAGCACAACTCCACCATCACCGTCATCGGTGGAATTGCACGGTAAGAGTGACGTCATCGCTGCTATTAGGTCCAAGCTCTGAAGGCTCTCTGCGGACATGCTGCCGGAGTTACGCCAACGACTGACTTACGTCAGCATGGCTCCGAAGTGTGTCAGATTTCTGGTGAGGGGCCAACAGAAAGCAGCATGTCTCCTTCGTCATCGAGAGCACTAGTCCGAGAACACCGAGAACACCTTGTCCTTGTATTAACTAAGTTACGTGACCGACTTACTTACGTAAGCGTAGCTCCGTACTGGGTCAGATTTCTGGTGAGGGGCCAGCAGAAAGCGGCGCGTCTTGCTCTCCATGGGGACAATAGTCTGAGGACATCAAGAACACCCTGTTGCTGTACAACGACAAGAACACCTTATCCTTGTATTAACTACGCTATGTGACCGACTTACTTACGTAAGCATGGCTCCGAGCTGCGTCAGAGTTCTGGCTAGGGACCAACAGAAAGCAGCGGGTCTCCTCTTCTTCGCCCATCGTCACCGTCTCTTCAGCGGGTCTCCTCTCCTTCGCCATAGCAGACACTGTCAGAGTTCAATTTGAAGGAAACAAGGGATACCTATTGAAAATGACAAGTGTTCTTCCAATTTAAGAAGGAAAAAATGACAAGTATTCACATGGGGGTTAAGATCGAGGGCCCTGAACTGACAGGGCAGATAAAGGAACTAGTGCAATTGGAGCTGACACGTAGATGGAGCGACCTTAAACCGCAATTAGACATTTTTCAGACAGACCGGGATACAAAGAGGGCAATTACTGAGTTCTGTATAGATTGGCTGGGTGGGCAACGAGGTGGATGGACGGCTCGAATTGAGTGGACAGGGGATCGGGCAGCAGAGACAGAACATGGAATCCCGAGAGATTACATACTAGTCTTCAATGACTGGACCCACATTGACTCAGCTTTCCCGATGAGGCCCCCATCTGATTTCCCGGACCCATTCGCTCCCCACCCCCTTGCCCTGATGGAAGCTTTTACCTGACCAGGCTGAAAGAGTGCGACAAAATCACGACAGATCACGACAAGAGTGCAGCAAGTTTGGATCTGAAGAGTCTGAGATAAGCCTCCCCAGTGCCCCCCAGGTGTTGCTTATCAAATACTCTCTGGCTGTTCCAAAATCATCAAGTCTCTCGCAAGCTCATCACCACCTGCTCATTCAATCCCGTGGCAACCAGGGCAATCAATGCTGGCAGGTTTTTTTTTTTTTTTTTTTTTTTTTTTGAAAACAGGCAGCTTGACACTCTTTAAAGAGATATTTCGATGGAGGTTCAGAAGTTTGATGTAAAATGGGACGCTGGACCCTGTTTCCAGCAGGTGAGGCTCCCCACCAATAGACTGGAGCATCCAGGATGATCGCTAGGGGGGGATGCTTGTATCACCCTCCCTAGCGGCAAGACTAGTTTAAAAAAAAAAAAAAAAAAAAAAAAGAATGATGACTCGTCGGTGTTGCGTTTTGTGAAGAGTTTTGCATCGACGTTTTCGACATTCTTGTAGAGGCTGGCTACTAGGCATATGACAGGCCTGCCAGCAACTGATCGTTTTATCATCCCAGTGTACTGCCTATTAAGTAGTATTAACGGGTCCCCTATGAGACACGCAAATGAGTAATGGTGGCGTTAATTGGATAGTTTTATTTTGAATGATTACTCAAGTGTTGGTAGATAATAAGTTTGCTTCCGTAAAGTGTTTTTGTTTATTGTTTGCAACTTTGTGAGTACTGGAGCGAAGCAAGGTGGTTGTACTTTCAACCGGCTCTGTACATTCCTATTTGGGACGCTGGGCCGGGTTCGCACTGCCCAGCACAGGCTGCTCCCCATGAATATGGATTAAAGCATTGTTCAACAAAAAAAAACGGGATGAAACAAGGCGACGCACCCATGGTGATGGGCGAAACTCATCGGTGTCGCATTTCATGAAGATTTTTGACTTGACTTCTTCCTAGTAATAACATGCTATGTGAAGCTCACTAGAGGGGGATGCTCTTATCACTTCCTCTAGCTAGGGGACCAGTTATTCACCAAAAAAAAAAAAAAGAAGGGCTATGTGAAGTCTGCAAATGAGTAATCATGGTGTTGTTTGCAACTCCGTAAGTGCTGTGTGATTGTGGATTCGGGTCCATGCCTCGTCACGAGTGGGGCCTACTAATTTTTTACAATAACAATTATATCTCTAATTAAAGCAAAGAAACAACGGCGGGTGCGGCATGTTTTGAGTTCGCAAACTTTGTCATGGCCTGAGTTTGAAAAGGCGGTTGTAACTTAGGCCGGCAATGGTGTCAGGTTGGCAGTTTCGTTCAGGCGTTTTTTTTTTTTTTTTTTTTTTTTCTTTCTTTCCCGCACGGCCACGGCCACGATGTCTAGGCCACGCCCGCGATGTCTAGGTCAAAACCGCGGCTGGCCATGGCCATGATGAGCCACAGTCGCGAGGGGAACAAAAAAAAAAAAAAAAACCTACAACCGCCTTAACGAAACCGCCACCCTGACACCACTGCTGGCCTGAGTTACAACAGCCTTTCGAACTCAGGCCATGACAAAGTTGCGGATGCCTGTTTTTTCTGCCCATTATGAACTCCCATGTGACGTGAAGGTACGTCCCTCTTAACTAGTAACTATTATGCACTCATCTATTGAGGCTTTGATCTCTCTCCCTTTTTTTCCTTTCTTTGTTTTTTCTTCCAAATAGAGTATTTAATGATTATATAATAATAGCAAGGAGGGAGAAGTGACAGTATGCAAAATGAAAACAACTACAACAACAGAGGAGCCCCTTCCCGCGAAGTAGGACGCCTGCTGCTTGTGAAGAGCAACACCGTCGCAGCAGCAGGCGAAGTTGGGTGCGTAATGTAATGAAATGTGTATGGTACCATCGGCCACTGGACATAACGCATATGTGTTGTAAACGAATACAAATTATACAACACATAGGTTGTATATGGGACGCTGGACCCGCTTTCCAGCAGGTGATGCTCCCCACCAATAGATGGAGCCTTTTTTCTGGAAAAAAAAAAAAAAAAAAAAAAAAAAGGGTTCCTTTCTATCCAAGTACAACACATATGTGGTCATACTCGAAGGAGGCATCATTTTGTTTCTTGAAAATAGAATACAACGCATATGCGGTATGTTTGGGGGAAGATGGTATGGTCGGAGCAGTTAATGCTGCAAGCCGTTCGACCAAAAAAAAAAAAAAAAAAAAAAAAAAAAAAACATACGTATTCTGAGGCACATTTCTCTGGGGCTGGAAACACCCTGTGCGCCAAAAAAAAGAAATCCGCCGGCGCGGGGCTCCTTTTGACTGGGGGCACCAGCCAGTTTGCTCCGGAGGCCAAGCCCCGAAAGTTGCGGCTGCGTGCAAGCCACATTTATTTTTTCATAGTGTGGAAACCTACTGGTGGTTAAAGGCTTGGACCCCACTGGCCAGCGGCCTGGAAAAGTTTTTCCGCCGAGGTCATTTCGGGACCCCACCAGGCCTCCAGGAACAGTTTTTGGGGAATGCCGACCTCAATTTCAGGACCAGTCGCTTTCCAAGTCCTCTGCAAGTGTTTTGCAGAACTGTGGGCCGGGGTACGGGACCTTTCTTTCGGCCAGTCGTTTCTTCCGCCGTTTTTTTGTCGTTTTGCTTTTGAGATATT